CAAAGGGATTGCTTTAGTAAAGAAATTGGTAAAGGAGTTAAAGGAGTTTAAAGGCAGAAGAAACAACTGCAAGCTTCATGAGGTTTGGATTGGTTAGGAGGGAATGCAAGTGTTAGCTGTCAGGAAATAACACACCAGTTGATTGAGGAGGAGATTACTATGATTGAGGGACAAGAGTTGAAAAATTATGAGGAGCAAACAGGTTGAATTAAGCTTCACTTTTAGCAAACCTCTGTAATACCAAAGCTAATTAAATCAATTATATCAAGTCTTGAAAGTCTCAAATAATCAAACAGCTACTTTAAGTAAATTTCAAGATCACTGTTGTTCAACTATAGACAAGCAAAATACAAGCCTTAAGTTCTAGAGTGAGCTTTTGCTAATATTCTTATGATTCAGGAATCTTTGTATATTTAGTAAAATTATTCTATCAGATATCTAATAAATTCAAATTGAGAGCTTTTACTAGATATAGTAAAGATTTAGTAAACATATTTTTATATTAACTTATCATATTAAAACAAGAGTAGAAATTTGTTCTTATCTGTGAAGTTTACATACAGGCAATTACTTGCAATATTATAGGGAAGAAAACAAGAAAAAAGCTTTATAGTCTTAGGTGCAAATACAAAAGGATAGCCTATAAGTAATATTATGAGCTAAAAGATAGGTGAGATGGTACAGGATGTAGAGTTAAGGAAAAAGTGTGATATAGGGTTGTATGTAAGATAGAAGTTACATGTGTATAAGAGTTATAATATGGAACATACATGTAAGTAGAAAAGATATTTAGAGGCAGTGTCACAAACGTGGCTCGGCATGGAAAAGGTTTTCACGTGACACATGGTTATGAGTCACAGGTATGTTATTGTTTTGCACATATGACCCATTCGGGTTATATGATTTGTTATGTGTGGGATTTGTAATGCTTTCGCACATGGCTCAAGTATGAGTCATGGGACGTGCGCCTGGCGGGTATGCCTTGCGAGTGTGCCTTGCGGGTAAGCCTTGCGCATATGATTTATGTTTCGCACATGACCTTGTTATGAGGTCATGGGTTTCACGCATATGACTCAGTCAAGTCATATGACTTGTTTATTGTGTTATGATTGGTTTATGAGTTTTTGCACATGACCTCGCTATGAGGACATGGGTTTTGAGCATGTGATCACTTTGGTCACATGACTAGTTTGTTATGATTTGGTTTCGCACATGTGACCACTTTAGGTCACATGACTATGGGTGAGAAGAATACTATATAAGGAGGCCGATACGGCCAAGGAAGATAGGTTCTTCACGCTTTGTTCTAAGTACTTTTCCTACTTATTACTTTAACAAATATAAAACACCTTTACAATCTTTATCTTTATTGCAACATTATCGTTACACCAAGTAAGGTTCTTCACCAAGACAAGTTAGAGAAAGCTTACGATTGGCGTTCCCGATAGGAGACAAAGGTCTTGTACTATCAGTAACGTAGGCAGAGGCCTATAGCTATCGTAAGACAAAGGAAGAAGAAGACAGAAATGAGAAGTATCGTTTCCTGTCGCCAAGAACTAACTATCCAAAGAGGGATTGTTACAGGCAGCTAAGTAATAACCAGAGTTGCATGGGATGACCTTCTCTGGAGAAAATTAATACAATCATTTTTATCACCACAACTTTTAGATCATGTTTGCTATTAATAAGAATTATATTCTATAATAGGAGGTTTCTTAATTTAAAAAGAAAAAGCTTTTAGCTTATGGAAGACATATATGTTCAGATTATTAGTTAGCTAATTAATAAGGAAACACAATTGACTATGAGAAAATTTGTATCTGTTGTTGGAGAAATTAAGTATAATAGTTTTAAAGATAAAATAAGTTTTAATAATATTATATTTTAACTAGTAACATAATAGTTTAGAATAGATTCTACAGTGCTGACAAAGGTAATTACAAATTGTACAGTAATAAGATTATAATACAAAATTGAAAAACCGACAATCAATCATTACTACTTTAGAAATATAGTTAAGAATAAAAGTAACTATTAGATATACAGGTCAAGAGATAGAAAAACCCTTGAATAGAGTAACTATCCACAGAACTCTTAACTTATAGAAATCCATCTTCTACTCCAGCTCCCTTCTAAGACTAGCATATCCTTAGTTAATTTTCCCAAAGTGGTAACTTTTATTGGTTATAAAAATTAATAAACCCTATATTCTAATATCATATATATCTCTACTATCTATTCAACTTAAAGGTTTTCGCAGGATATATGAGAAGAAACCTGTAATAATATCTGAAAAGTAGAATATAAGAAATCAATCAAATATATATTAAGTTAGCAGACTTCAAAGTTAAGCTTTATGACTTTAGGTTAAAGTAACAACATATTATTATTACAATAATTTATATTAATCCATACAGTACTTATAACATACTTGTATAGGAGTTAAGCATAGATCAGTATACAGCTTAGTTAATCTGTTAAGTTGGTTACCAGCAAGGAAGATTCACAAGAGTTAATCAAGATATTGAGAAAATAGATAAACATACAATTTAGGATGTATTGATATGTATTTCATCAAATTTCTAATATTTACTAGTTAAATATCTTCTTTAAGTATAATTCTCATACTCTTATAATACATAATCATAGATTTTTACTCAAGTCTCCTACTAAAAGCAGATATAAATATATCTAATTATTAACTAATACTTGATCTTCTGTCACAGCTCCACCTCAGGTGATTGAAATTTATTTCTTATTTTGGAAAACCTCAATACTTCAGACTTTTCTTACCACTTTTCATGTCTGGTCTTACCATTTAGGAGGGGGACTAGACAATCACTTCCCATTCTTCCATCATATTAAAACTCATCTCTGGATTTCTCTCTTAAGGTCTACCCTTTTGAACTACTCTTTTCACTACTTTCAACATTTCAAAATATTGGGTCTCATCTCTATTCTACTTTTGTTCTAAGTCCACTTAGCATCAGCATAGTCTGATCTTTACATTCTTCCTACAATAGACTGCTGGGGATATAGTTAGTAGTACACTATTATCATAGATTCCTTCTAGTTTCCTCAACAGGTCATAGTTAATTTTACAACCCTCCTCCTCCTTACCCCTCACAAGTAGTAGTATTCCATCTACTAAGTGACACTATCTTACTTAAAACAAAGAACTGCATGAGAAATACAAGAATCCATCTGAGGGCACTGGAGAGTCAAGGAGGTACTCAGTTAAGACACAAACATATTTCCAATAGTTGTTTTGGCATTTGGGTCTACTCCTCCACTATCCTCTCTGTGGTTGTAATTAGCTAGTATCCTACCACCACCCTACTTTTCTCATCTTGACTGGCACCTACTCAACTGCCAAACATTATCTTCCTCCCACAGCTGGCATCCTACTGCTGGCTAGCATCTTACTGTCCTTCTTTTTGCTCCTCTAAGCTATGTGTCCTTCATCTCAGCCTGCCTTGACAGATAGCCTGGGCTCCTCTATACTGCCATGTGCTCTCCTGTTCACCTTAAGAGGAGTTTTCCCTTTACTTCCTAGTCACCCCTTACTCCTGCTGCTGGACTATATGTCCACAGTAGCTTGTTACACTTGCAGTAAGGGGAAAATTGTTATATTTTTTTTGTAAGAAACTTATTACAGGATGTAGGCTTCAGGAACCATACATACCTACGTACTTGTATCATATGATATAAGTATCATGCGGTCGGCACCTTGCGGATCCATCACTTGGTGTCACTCATAGGAAACTTGGCAATGGCACATCGACCGGCAAGTTTTCCTTCCCCGAAGGCTATGTCACATTGTATAATGCCGAGAACATACGACAACCCCACGGCGACTCCTGCTGCAAGGGGCTAGTGTCTAATGTTAGCCTGGCCATCTGTACCGGTGCCCGAATAGATAGAGATCTCGAAAGGCCAAAGCTCAAAGGTGAAAAAAGATGTGAAAGTAAGCACCTAAGTTAGGCATTGTCGTCCAGAAAGGGGCTCTTGGTCAAGAAAATAATCATGAGATGTGGAGTGTATCCTTCCCCAACCGGTAACAAGTTGCGAGAGTTTCAAAGTGAGACCCCCCTTTCAAGTACCCCACCCATCATCGGGATGCAGGGATAATTCTGAAATAAGGCCGGAAGGGTAGCATCAGAACACGAGCAATGTCCAGCGGCACGCTTTTACAAATACTCGTACCGGTACTGTATGATACTTGAGTACCGGTACTCCCGTACGAGTAGTAGGAGGGTGGTGGATTTGAAAGGGCACGTGCTGTGGTGCTGTGGGCCTGTGGCTGTGATTCCTCTTTCCTTCCATTTCGGGAAAATCCGAAGCGAGAAGAAGAGCCTCATTAGAGGTTGGAATAAACTTTGCGCCCAACAACCCGAACCACGTTGTCGGGTTCCCCCGTAATCCGTCTGAGCGCTCCCAACGAAAAAACCTGCGGTCACCCACACACAACCAACCAACAACTCTTCGCTTTTTACGACCACCCAGTGGTTTTTTTTCCTTTTTTTCTTCCCTCTCATTTTTCTTTTCTTTCCTTTTCTAGCAGCCCCCTTCCTTGTTATTATTTTTTTTTTTCTGATCTAGCCTCCCTCACTGTCTCTCAGCTCTTCAGGTAATTATCTTGATACAAGTACAACGCATTCTCAGGCAGCTGTCGATCACTGTTATGTAATTGGTAGGGAGGGATTATCATTTCGTACATTTTGCCCTTCTCAAATATATATATATATTTATAATATATTATAATATATATTTGCAGTTGGTCTAAGGCTAATTTTTCCCCTTTCAAACCCTGCTCGTCAGTGGTAATGATGTTACGTCGGGGTTGCCTTCGCGAGCGGAGTCTAACAAAATTAGTTGCTTTGCCAAGACGCTCATGTTATCAGGAAGGAATAACAACCAGAAGCAGAAGAACAGACCACAACGCTCCCAGTGACACTCTGCGCTCGGCGAATCCGATCACTACCCCTCTAATTCCTCCAATGCCGCCCCAAAAACGCGTTCGCGAAAAGGCAGTAGCAGCTGAAGATTCAGGGGAGAGGAAGCAGCAACCATCCTTCAAACCTGGGCTCCGCGATCGTCCTGCGCCCGATGCTACTATCGCCGCTACGGCCACTCCGGTCCCGTCTAAGGATTATCAGCACGGGAAGAAGGAAGTAGGAAACCTCGGATCTCCCGTCTCCAAAGCGAAAAAGAGACTCAAGACCACCACGGTTGTCGCAGCTTCGACCATCCATGATACGAACGACCAACCGTCCCGCTCATATTGGCTAATGAAAGCTGAGCCAGGGACCAGAGTGGAGAAGGGAAAAGACGTCAAGTTTTCCATTGACGATCTCAGGGCATGTAAGAAGCCTGCGGGCTGGGATGGCGGTGTGTGACCAGATTTGAATCTTCAATCTTGATGGGGAAAGGGGAGCGATGGGTGGATGGATCCAAATGGCGCTGTGGGATTTTTGCTAACCAATCAATTAATTGTATCATTCCGCAAATAGTCAGGAATTACGGCGCCCGCAACAACCTGAAATCCATGAAAAAGGGGGATTTGGCATTCTTTTACCACAGGTTTGTCTACTCCCGAGATTTTGCCATCATAAAAGTGGGAAACAGAAAGGAAAAACATGACCTTGTTCTATTTTTTTCCCTCCTCCTTCCCCAAAACGGATATATGGGTTTATTCCCGAAAGCAGGGGAGACACAATGGTTTTCCGGGGCTAAAATGATTTATTATCACAGCAACTGCAGAGAACCAGGAATAGTAGGAATCATGGAGATAGTGCAAGAAGCTACTATAGACGGTAAGCATTTCCTCCTTTCCACTTCCTCCCCACTCACCTCCACCGCTCTGCACTACCGGTACCGGTACACAACCTGCGACTTCCCTGTGAGCCCTCCCCTTATCAAATTTCCCCGCAAACGTGATCTCCACCAAGCCTCTCCCCCTCCCGTCAGATCTGCCATCCCTCCACCCCCTCTCTGCACAACCAACCCAACCAACCACAGCCCGACTTCTTTCCTTCCCCCCTCCTAATTATTCACACAATGCCGGTACACTTCCCTCCGCCTAATCTCGTACGATACATTTTTCACATTCTTTTTTGCACCCCACCTTCCATCCGTCACCCGTACTCGTACATATCTTAACCTATTTACCAGAAACCGCGTTCAACCCTGAAGAACCCTATTACGATCCGAAATCTTCGAGGGATAATCCGAAGTGGTTCCTGGTGCACGTAGAATTTCGCCGGAAACTAGAAAGACTGGTGGGACTGGCGGAGCTGAAGAGGTACGCGAGCAAGGAGCTTTCGGTCCTCCCGCTGCTGAAGATGGGGAGGTTGAGTGTGTCTGCAGTGCCCGTGGAATGCTGGGAGTTTATCCTTTCCTTGGAGAAGATGGAAGAGGATGGGAGTTGAGCTCGAGGGGAGCTTACCCTTCGTTGCTTGCTTGGCCTTGCTTGGGTTCTCGTCGGGTTTGTTTTTTGGCGATACTTTGTGCTCTGCTCTCTCGAATACCGTACCCCATTTCTACTCTTCCACGTCTCCTATTCTCCCCGGAACACCATCTCACCCTCATTCCCCCCCCATACTTCTTTATTTCATTTTAATCTTCACCCCTGTTTAACTTACATGCTGGTCCTTCTCTTCCATTGGTTCGACTCACCCACTCCCCCCCCTCTCTCTCTTCTTTCTTTCTTTCTTTCTTTCCATCCCACAGCAGCGTCTTTGTATTCTTCGATGTCCAGTGCCACCTAGAAT